CGAATGGGTCGGCTCGACCGGAGTGATACCACGGCCTCACAGAAGACCAACGTGAATCAACTACAGCGTTGTGTTTCGCCGTGTGAGTGAGGTTACCGGAGGCCCAATCCTTCCCCGCCCCCAATCCCTCCTCAATCCCTAAATCTCCAAATCCCTAATCCCTAAAAGGTCGGCAACGCACTCGTAACTCCTCCGTTGTGGGTGTCCATGGGCGGCACTGATTGCTTACCATCAGGTAATCCGTCTGCTCGTTTGCCGACCAATTACATAAAAAAAAAATAAAAAAAATCTTTTCAACCAGTTGCTTGATCATAGCCATAGGTCAACACACCTAACCAAAACTACTAACGAGGTTCCTACCTAATCATAACTCGCACCAAAAACAACTACCTACCATAAACCATGGCGTGTTGTTTCAAATAAATTATATTAAATTACAAATCGTTATAACAATAGTACTTATCTATGTAAATAATAATAGTTATTGTACTTACTCATAATCTATGCTAGCAATTTGTTTTAAAGAGCTTATTTATAGGTTAGCGGGGCGCGTTTCCATACAAATTTTCGAGTGAAAAAGTCATGGGAATCACTGCATATATTTTGATAGAACTTCGTACTCATAGTACTTAATATGTTATGGTTTAAGACCTTTCTTAATAATATTTTCAACAGAAGAAGAAAGAGTTAAGAGAGAAAAGAAATTTGATTCGCGATCTTATGGAAACTTATTTAATTTATAAAATAAGTTTCCATAAGATCGCGAGTAACTGCTTAATTGAAGTTAAGTTTGTAGCAAGTATACATATTTCTATAATATATTTAATTAAGGTTGTATCATCATCACTAAGTCACTGCACAGGATAAAATAAAGTCATTTTATCTGTCCCTATAATCCTATCCTATCCTATCCTATCTTTAAAACAACGCAGCGGATTTTGATGGTTTCTTTCAATAGATAGAGTGATTGAGAAAGGTTTATATGCATAATAATAAACATCCATTAAATAGTGGAGAAAATAAGTAATAGCATTGCACCCGTTCGAAGCAGGGGCAGGTCGCTAATACCTTAACACAATACGTATTAACAAAAAAAATCTTGAATTCAAAGTTTGTATGAAAACCCGTGCGGTCTAAACCGTATTAATTTAATGTGTAGCGAGCGTTAGTTAGGGACGGTCGAGACACTCGGAATGTGTTATTTATTCATATTTATTTAAGATGAGTGTTAGAAAAATGTTTGTCCTTAATGATATGATTGTTTTTTTTATTTACTAGCTATACTGGCATATAAAATTGATGGCCCGTTTATTAGACACTAGGCAAGTAGACACGTGCGTCCTGATGTCCATGACAATAATCTAATAATATTATAAATGCGAAAGTAACTCGGTCTGTCTGTCTGTGTTTTCTTCACACATAAAACTAATGAACCTCTTTGTGTGGTACAGACATAGTTTGAAACTCGAGTCCTTTGACATAGGATGGTTTTTAAACCAAAAATCTGCAGAAAGTCACTACTACTCCACGCAAACAAAGTCGCGGGCAAAAGCTGGTTGGTAAATAATTGTATTGTATTCCTATGGATCTCTGGTCTCAAATAGAGAGTTAAATTTAATTTATCTCGTAAGGAGAGAAGTTATTTGATGTTCGGCCGCGTTACCTTAATATGCTTGACCCGCTATCCCGGCTAAACATCGTCCCTGTAGGGCCCCATCTGTGGTGATCAATTGGCTCTTTGAGAAGGGCGTAACTAGTTCTGGTCGGGTGGCTACCTTTGCTCGCCTTAACTCCTATGGACTGATGGCGATGATAATGATGATGATATCATAACTCTATGCTCCGATCAAATACCTATCCATAATATAATAATCTTTCCACAAATTGTTATTCTGGGTTTGATGTGTATGTGAAATTATATGTTTGAACGACACAGGACAAATCCTAGAGTAGGGCAAAGAATTGGCTCTTAATAAACTAGTGCGCCTTACCATCAACGATTGCATCACTGCTTACCATCAGGTAGGATTCCAGTCAAGCACTAGTTTATAGCAAGAAAAAAAAAACGTTTTTTCTATAATAATATGATCGAAGATCTGTGTGTATAACTAGCCTTACATTTTCGTTCGTTCCAATTTCAAACAGTTTAAATAAGTTTTTACGACATAAAAATAATGCGTTCAAAATAAGTGCTTGAGTGCTTAATCATAAAAATCCGCGGTATTCAAAATTAGAGGTTGGTTATGTATCCTAATATGGCTATTAATTTAAGTATTATAATATGATGTAGGTTCCTATTGCTTATTGAAGTACTTGTTAAAATGATTCACAATTTAATATGAACTAGCGACCCGCCCCGGCTTCGAATAGGTGCAATGTTGATTCTAATGAATTTCTCCACTATTTAATGGATGTCATTATACATATAAACCTTCCTCATCATACTCTCTATCTATAAAAAACTCGCATCGAAATCCGTTGCGTGGTTTTAAAGATTTAAGCTAACTAGGGATAAACAAACATAGGGACAGAGAAAGCGACTTTGTTTTATACTATGTAGTGATAAACGGCCTACGTTATTTCGAAAAAAAAAATCATAAGTACGGCTATCTACTCTATACTTACATATAAAAAAAAGGTACCTATAATAAAAAAAAAAATTCTGTTCGATATTTGAAATAGATGTGTATCATCAGTCATCACAAATGTTTGTCTATGCATTAAAGAAATAAAATTAATTGTCACACAGACATTTCATGATTAATAAAACTATTGTTATTCGAAAACAATTTAAAAGACTGACTTAAGTATCCATTAAATGACTCTGATTACGGCGATATAACAATAACTTCTTCCATTTTTTTATATAGACAGATGATGACGTCCATTAAAACGACTACAATACTTTTTATTTCTTCTACACATATGCAAACATTATGGCCGATACATATCTATTTCAAATATCGAACACAATAAAATTTTCTTTTATTAAAAGTACATGATTAAATTCTTCATCACGAAATCAAAATAAGAAAGAACTTGTCAATCAAAATTAAACCTTAACATAACAGTTATAAAGTTCAATATGGATTATCTCTTGTATAGTTAAATTATCAGTCATTCCTTTTTTAAAATGCTAATGAAACGTCAAAGGGTGTAGGGTAAAAGCAGCAGTTGCTATCCGAGATTCAATATGTAAGAATAAAAATTCAATTGCTTTAGATCACGATATGTTTACGCTATGTCTTGTTTAGATGAGTTAATTGGGCGTTACTCGAGTTATTTCGGAGAACCATTTGTTTCTTTTTCGTTTGTAAATTATAGCTGAGTGTTGTTTAGTAATTGATGTTTACTTAATTACGTTGAGTGGTTTATAAAGATATTTCCTTAACATGATTATAGGGAAACATTAGGGAAATAAAAACAACGCTTGTGTGAATACAAGTGTGGGACAGCCATGCTTCGTCACGAATGGGTCGGCTCTACCGGAGGGATACCACGGCCTCACAGAAAACCGGCGTGGAACAACCACAGCGTTGTGTTTCGCCGTTTGAGTGAGGTTACCGGAGGAACAATCCTTCCCCTCCCCCGATCCCTCTCCAATCCCTAAATCTCCAAAACCCTAATCCATAAAAGGTCGGCAACGCATTCGTAACTCCTCCGTTGCAGGTGTCCATGGGCGTTTGTTTGCCGACCTAATACATAAAAAAATACATCAAAACTTTTTTATTGTAACCCTTTATCCACACAAAAAAAAACAAATCTATATTGTCGGAATATTAAAACCTTTACCCTACATATACTCTATGGTTCAACATAAGAAGCAGCTGCGATCAATACGTCAATTCATATTTTGATAGACAGACAGACAATCAGATTTAAAAAGTAAGTATTCCAACCGTTTAGTTAATATGTCGTGGTGGCCTGGATGTTAAAAGGCGGCCGCCTCTTTTCGAAACCTGACAAGTACCAATGTGACTTTTTCCCAGTTAGGTATATGTACTTTCTAAGGTTATTTAGACACCATTGAGGTACGGTGAAGGAAAACATCGTGAGGAAATCTGGCATTAAAATTTTCTACTTATAAGTTTACTTACGTAAAAGATTTCTACTTATAAGTTAGCTGTGTAAGATCTATGTTAGATCATGAAATGTATCGCATTTGTATAAGTTAGTATTAAAATGTAATCAATCGGAACAATCGTTTCATTAAATCATACACCCTTCTGAAATCCACTTTAAGCAAGCGTGTATGATGTCGTGATTAATACTCAAACCTTCTCCGTGTGTGAAGAGGCCTTTGCTCAGCAGTGGGAACTTATAGGCTTGATGATGTGGATGATATTAGTACAAATAATTATCACGTATTAAAGATGACTCTACGATATGCGATATCGACACAAGTAACTTGAACCTAACCTTTCTTATGGGATAATAAAAAGATACGACATACGAGCAGAAGGATTACCTGATGGTATAAGTAATCTAGTGCACTTACAAGTTATTTGATATTGTTAGTGTTAACAATATCAAATAACTTGTAAGTGCGTTTTCAGCCTTTTGAAGTTAAGAAATCGGGTATTGATTACATGTAAGAATAATTCTTTCAAAGTAATACCAAGCGAATTGTCTTGATTGAATTTAAAGGCATAATGAAAATAACTAGCTCGGCTCCATTTGCTACAATAGCTTGATCTTTATTAGTCTATTAGCACTCGGGAACATTTTAGCTATCAATAACTGAAAGAATTTTGGGAATCCGACCAGTGGTTCCAAAAATTACCTCCTACATACAAACTTAAAAATTTTACTTCTTAATAATATTAGAATTGATAAAGTCGTCAGTACAATAATTATTCGAATCTTATTCTTATAATAAATATAACCCGCCATAAGTTTGTTGTCGTTCTACTTTTAAAAAGACAGGTATCTACGGTCTCTTCTAGAAGGTTTCATAAATGGAACAGGAATAGATTATAAAAAGGTTTTATAACACTTACCATTCCCTTCAATATAGCACGGTAACAACACAGTATCGTTTTCATAAGTTTTTACAGTCACTGGAACACTTTTAAATGGCTTCTCACTTTTCACTGAATTTCGTATAAACAATAGTAACATTAGACACGTGAAAAACTTCATTTTATTGTATTTAAACACCTTTTTTACCTACAAAAAGTACAAAAAAACTCAGTAAGTTGATTATTTTATAAGTATTTTTCTATTCAGCAACCAGGTAATTTGTTTAAAATTACAAAGTGTCTAGATTAGATACCTAATTTTTATATTGAGAATAAAAAATATTACAAAATGGATTAATTACGTCTCAAAGTAAGAATTTAAATAAAAAAAATAACTTCGTAAGAAATTGATATGGTCCATTTGTAACCGAAAACAGAAATAAAAGCGCGCCGAATTTGATTTAAGAACAACATTAATTTGTACCAAAGAGGACGGATGTACTGCACAGTGAATAAACTCAGTATTTTTACTTTTATTTTTGTATTGTCTGTGTTTCGGTCACTGGTATTATAGGATTTACGGTCTACCGCCTGTAATGTAGCGCTTTGCCATTAATTAGACCTTTTTTAATCAATTTCCAAGTTACAAAACGCAGCTTCATTTCGTTAAAAAAATGGTTTCCGACTGTCCCGTTTCCCAAAGATTTGAAAAGTAATAAAAACTAATAGAAGTAGTTTGTACACTTAATTAATATTTTTTAAGACTGGACGCTATTAATTGAATTTATTAAATAACAAGATCACAGAACACTTACTACGTTTTAATTATAATTGAACGGAAATCGTAAACAATACGAGACAGTTTTCGATACGTCTTGTTTCCGAACGCGCGCGTCTTGGCGGGAAACCCGAGTGGAACTGTCATAGTTGGCGCATGCGCCCGACGCTCGGCTCAATGATTATTACTTAGGGCAGGAGTACAATGGGAGGAACTTTGAAAAATATTTATTCTAATGATAACTGTTTTCCAGTTAAAACGTAAATATTTTATGTAGGTATTATAAATTTTATAATTAATTATAAAACTATTTAAAAAGAGTTTTTATTGTATTATTTTATGTACCTACCTATCACAATATTATTCTGTACATATATCTACCAATCTGCTTAAACTTCGTGGCACGATATCGTAGATGTTATTTTCGTAGTTATGATACTTTATTTAATGTTTCATAAATCTTAAATAAAATATGGGTAGTTCCATTAAATTTTTACAATTTCCATTTACGTTTTGATTTTACATTTAACGTTTACAATTAAGTATAGGTAGGTATCTACAATTCATTTGAATTGACAACTAGGTACACTAAAAACCCTCCCGATAAAATGTAAAACTACATTTGACATTTTACTAGAAAAATAAGTACCTACTCAAATAAGTACAGTACAGTACTTTCAAAGTTACAATATATTATTATTTGAGATCGAAACAAAACACAAGCATTCGCTCCCGTTGTACCCCAAGCTTTATACGTATCCAGTCAATTAATGTACCACCTTTAATCTAAGAGAATGGATGATGACAAACTATGAACTAAGACTGTTACAATGTACATATCTAAGTGATCATATCATTTCAGAACATTAAGGTACCTTATGGATGAATGGATGGATTACCTGATGGTTAGCAATGGCGGCGCCAGTCCACCATAGAGGATTTGCACGAATGGTTCGACCGGAGTGATACTACAGCCATAAAGAAAACTAAACTAAACTAAACTTTGCTGTGTGAGTGAGGTTAGCGGAGGCCAAACTTTCCCCTCCCCCGTCAATCGTGAATACCCAATTTTCCGAAATAGGAGACTCTCAAAGCATGCATGCATGCAATGCATAGGATACTCCTCTGGTCCGGGATTGAGCGGCAAGCGGAATTAGGCGCCGCGGTCTCGGCCTAGAGCAGGACAAGGATCGGCGGAGTTTTTATTCAGAAAAGTCTGACACTCCCTCTCGGCCCACACCTGGGCGGGAGAAGTCATTTGATAATTTCCCCTCACAACACCTCTAGTATGGCGGGTGTCCTTGGGCAGCACCGATTGCTTACCATCAGGTAATCCGTATGCTTCATGAAGGAACGGGTTTTTTGCTTCATAGCAATATGCTAGATAAGTAATAAAACATACCTAAAGTGATGCAGATACTAAAATAAGGTGAGTAAGGTGACAGACATGCAGACACAGACTATACACAAACGTTTTAAATTATCTATTGTTCTTATTTCAAATTTGTAGTTTCAATCATAGAGTTCCATATTTAAATACGTCAATAATTTCAATATGGTCTTATGAGTCATCGATATTATTATCACTCTGTTACGGCAGAGTCCCCTTCTCACACAGACAAGGACTAAATATTAAATGATATTAATTATTTACACGAAAAAGAAAAAACCAGCAAGGAAAAGTTAAATTAATTTACACAACTATTTCCTTCACGTACGACTGTGGCGTCTAAACAATTTTTGAAAGTAGGTATATTTAATTTGGTTAAGTTTGATACTTGTTAGGTTTCTTTCGCACTCATTTATGAGAGGCCTTAAACACCGGGCCACCACGGTAGCAGGTCAGCCGGGGTTTCTGGTCAAACAATGTCATACTGAAGCAAAATAATAAACGGAATAGTTTTAAGTCAGTAAGAGTCTGACACTACCCATGTCCCACCGAGGACGAGTCATTGGATGATTTTCTCCCACGGAATAGAAAATACAGTGGAAGTGCCCCTCAGACATCGCGCGCTAACCAACATGATGACTAGATATACAACATTTTGGCACATTTGTTGTCAGAATCGTTCGATCCGTTGTCATGATTGGTTGTCATGGTTGTCTCTAAGAAACACGAAATATATTAGAAATTATGCCTTGTTGTGCGGTTCTTAACTGCAAAAAAGTAAGCAGAAAAAAAGATGAGTCTTGTGGTGGTGTATCGTATCATCTTTGAGTATTAACCTTTGTTAATTTTAAATATATTAGATTTTAATGTAAATATCACATTTCATTACTTCAATGCAAACTATAAAGGGCCTTATTTTCATTACAATTAAGTTTAAATTTACTTGTTCGTTATGTGACGTTATATACAATACATTCTAGTAGTTTCGACGCTACTCATTTAGGGATGCGACATATTCGTAAAATAGGTTCGTATCGATAATTTTTCATCATCATCGTTCAGAAAATTGATTTTTGATAATTTTTGTGTATAATTCATAAATGTTTAACTAAGATTGCATAGACACATCAACGTTTTAACCACACACAGCGTGCATCCGTCTGTGGCAGGTGCGGGTGGTTAATCACCATTTTTATTTTATAACTAGTTTTCGCCAGCGGCTTCGCCCGCGTGTTGTGTTGATAAAAAGCAGCAAATAGCAAGAGAACAAAATCTAAGTATACATAAAATTTGGTATTTATCGTCTCATTTTTATACATCTCCAATGGGTAAATACCCTATTACTTACTAAGTCTCCGCAGTCCGTCCGTCAATAGATAGAAAGGTACGGATCTAACTAATAGGTAAGAGTTACAAATATTTGATAAAACCTATATTATATTATATTTTATACCGCATCGTGTCGAGCACGGCAACCGCTACACAAAAATAATTCTTATACCATGATTCAGTGTTCACTTGCGACGGCGCTATGTCTTATTATCCGAATTGCTAAGCTATCAGGAGTTACACGTGCTATTGTGAGTTAACCATAAAAGATAGACATATCCTGTATAACATTTTTTTGACAATTTTATTTAAAATATTTCCGTCATACATAATTTTTATGTAAGTTTCAGTCGCGTGTGTAACCTTAATGGTTACATTAAGGTTACACACGCGACTGAAATTTACAAAAGGGAGTAACTTCTCCCGTTTTCCCAACATTTTCCTTCACTGCTCTGCTCCTATTATTTGTAGCGTGATGAAAAGTATCCTATAACCTGCCCAGGAGTATAAAAAATAATTGTACCAAGTTTTGTTAAAATCCGTCGAGTAATTTTTGTTTCTATAAAGAACATTCAGACAGACAGACAGACAGACAGACAAAATTTTTACTGATTGCATTTTTGGCATCAGTATCGATCACTAATTACCCCCTGGTAGTTATTTTGAAAATATATTTAATGTACAGAATTGACCCCTCTACAGATTTATTATAAGTATAAATGTTGTACATGATTTTTATCAGAGTTCCAAAAAGGAGAGTGACTCTCAATTCGACTGTAACATTTTTTTTTTTGTTTTTGTCGTCTCCGTTATTTATGAACCGATTTTAATGATTCCATTTTAGGAAAGGAGATAAAACTGGTAGGAGCGCGTAGTGCTTTTATATGTTAAAATTGAAATCTTTAATAATAACTTGACCATCTCCAAAAAACATGAATACTTCAAAAAATATGTTAATATTTTTCTTTTTTTTTATTAGAACCTTTTTCATTACTGATCATTTGTAGGTATATCGTGTCGATAAATTATATTGCTCACACGAATACAAAAACATCGATATATTGGGATACCCTGCCCTATCTGAGTAGCAAAATAGTAAATGTCTATTGGTACAAGTGTAATACAATACAAATATGACATCTATTTCAAAGAAGTTAGCGTTTTGAATAGAATGAATTTGTTACAGCGCCATCTAGCGTTGAGTGGCTGAACCCGTTTGTAAATTGTTTTATTTAAGTTTTTTACACGATAGACGCCTTTATTGATTGTGACATGTGAAATGATAACAACTTTCGCTCATTGTTATAAGACTCAATTTTTAACAACATTTAGAAGATGATTTGCTAAAGTTGCGTTTCATGTTTTTACCCAATTATATAGCTGTTTTTTATGTGTGTAATGGACAATTTGATTTGCGAATGTGTGATTTTGGCGACACTGGTTTTCCTTTTGAAAGAGTGTAGGGGCACTTCTACTTAATTTTCTGTTCTGTGTTTTCTCCCCACCAAAAAAAGGTTTTCTTAACGAAAGTTCTCCTTCGCCGTTTATCAGTGGTGTCTAAACTTAGAAAGTACAATTTACTCCTGAAGGTCACCTTTGGTACTTGCCATGTAATGACTTTTCAAGCTGTATCCTTTACCAAAGCGTAAGGGCGTAGCGTTTGCGCTTCAAAGAACCAATTATAGACCATTACAGATGTTGCCCTATAGGGCTGAT